TTAATTCATTGAATCGCAGGAGGCACATTGCTGACTGCCAAAGGCTCGGTTGAAATTCGCAAATTTCGAGATGGGGATTTTTCTATATGCGACAGGAGTGTACCTACAACCATTGTTGTCAGTGGCAGCACTGCAATAGAGAGGTAGGGTATTCACAACTGGACAGCCATCCACTGGACGACAACTTTTCACTGAGAATAATTGATTACTAGGTGTGTCAAACCCACAGAAATTCTGACTGGGATACCAAGCTTTCGAAATAGTTTGACTGACCGCGCACACGTTACAGTCTTTTTTCGAAGCAGCGAACGTAGTAGTTGATGAAATGTATGGAAAGTAGGGTGTGTTTGTGCACGGAGTGCAAATGCAGAATTTCGGCGGTACGTTTAACAACGCGTCATTAAAAATGGGATTACAATTTATCCCGCTAGCGAAAATGCCATTTCCAGATGGAATATTATTTCCAATATTTCTCGCATCACTTACAGACAATCTACTCGACACAAATTTTCCGTTATTGTTATAACTCGTCGTAATAGGATTAGTCGGATTTTGACTATTTGAAGATTTGGAGACCAGTTTGGCATTTGTTGTAGCTTTCTTACCGACAGCATTTTTCCCACCATTATTTATTAGTTTCCTTTTCGAGCTGCTGCTGGCATTCCTAGACATTCCACGTCCCAATTTTGCGCATTTTATCCGTCCAGTGGCGGCAGCGAAGATTAGGAATGAAAGTCCTGCCAAGAGTCCCAATCCTGCCAAGGATCCAACTACAGTTCCGGCTATTTCACCCGCTGTCAACAGACCTATCCTGACTGTTGGGGAAATGGGATTTTCAGGAATTTGTAATTTTTATTGGTGAATAATAATTTGTGGAAATTAAGTTGAAATTTTTATATATTGACATGGAATTTAGATTATTATCATTATAATTATTATAATAATAATAATTATTATTATTATATTATTATTATATTCATTATTTTTATTATTATTACAACGTTAATTTATCGCAACAATAACCTGTGGTAGAAGTAGTTACATTGGATGAGCCAGCAGCAGTAGCTGCTGTATTAGTAGTAGCAGTAGTGGCAGCAGTAGTAACTACATTTGTAGTAGTGGTAGCAACAGCAGTTGCGGTATTAGTGGTAGTGGTCGCAGTGTTTATTGTAGTAGTCGTTGTAGTAATAAGTGAAGTTTTAGTTGTGGCTGTGGTAGTTGTAAATGTAGTAGCGGTCGTTGTGGTTGTAGTTTGAGATGTAGTAGTAGTTGAAAACGTTGTCGGTCTCGTTGTTGTGGTTGTAGAAATTGTTGATGCTGTGTTTTTTGTCGTTGCTAAATTGAAATTTAAAAAAAAAGTAATAATCAGTCTATTTA